AGCAGGATTACCCTGGAGTAAAATGGAAATAAGATAAATGTGATCAGGCCATGATCAAAGATCTGTCTGGGAATAAAAGGTGGCATATAGAAAAAAAAGAATGGGGTTAAAAATTGAAAGATACATCTTCATTTTCTTTGTAACAGTCAAGCACAACTGGATGACTATGACAGAGTCTGTTCAGAATTACATTGGCTCACTGAACTGGGGCTATCGTGTGGCACTGCGAGAGAAGAAGGTCACCTATGAGAATGCATATGGAGAATTTGTAGGACCACACACAGTTAAGGTACTACATACCTGTTTCCTAGGTCTTCCTGAACTGCTTTATCAATAAAGATACTTTTCAAATGCAATATCCTTTCCCTTGTTAGAACTGGAGAGTACTCACTTCAGACTCTTACTTCATCCACAGGCAACAAATAAAAGAGGAATTGAGAAACTCTACACAGCTAAGAGATTTCTCATTGCCACTGGTGAAAGACCACGTTACCTGGGCATCCCTGGAGACAAAGAATACTGCATTAGCAGGTAAAATAGGGAGAAATATGCAATAATTCATCGTGTGCAAATGCTCAATCTGCAAGATAGAACAGTAAAGTGTGAACAGGGCTGCTTTCTTGCTGTTTTTTTTCCCTATGTATCTTTCCTTTGAAGGAACATGAGCAGAGGAGAACAGTGATAGGCAGATATTGAGGTACTGAGAACACTGGTATCTAGTAAACGCTGCAGGACAGTGGGTGGCTGGCTGAGACGGTTCTGTTTGTAGCTGATAGCACTGTTTGTAAGTGATATGCATGTGATTAGAAACTGCTCTAAATCATATGTATGCCCATCATAAAACTAATTCATCAGCTTGGTCCTAGTTGCATTGCACACCCTCTCCCCCTGCCCTTCATGATGCATTGCAGTTCACACACTGCAGTTTGCTTATAATGAAGAACGTTCCCTGCTCAGAGAAAACCTGCCTGCTCAAGTGTCAAGGAAAAAGGGGTTTCCATGGTAGTCCCTGTCATGAAGGCAGTTGCAATGTACCATCTTTATGTGTTTCATCAGTCCTGAAACTCAACCCAAATTTTTCCCAGCCACTCAGCGGAATGAACTCAACTTCTGGGAAAAGTTACTTCCAATGTCTGGTTAATTGATGAAATGAAGCAAAATTAGCATGGTTTTGACAAAAAAAAAAAAAAGTGATATGCATGTGAAATGTGTTTTTCATTTCAGGCTAATTTTAAATTACCCATTAAAATGTAGAATCTGAGGTTAAAATTACAGACTTGCAAACCTATATCAATGAAATAAATGACTGGCATAATCCCCGTGAGACCAAAACACCCTGTTGCATGTTTTCCTTGCTAGTAAGTAGTGAAACTGGATATAACAGATAATACGACCCCTAAGGTGCTACTTTAAAAGAACCTTAAGGTGTCAGGGTCAGGAGCTCCAAAGCCAAGGAATATCAGACCAAAGCTCTCTGTACAACCTTAATTAGGTTCCCTGGGGAAGAGCAACTATGATGTAACCTTTAATTATACTGTCACATGCTATTTTGTTCCACAGCAACATTTGCAGAGAGCATCTTGCTTAGCCTCTGCAATGGGTCACTGAGAGACACTTATTTCAGATGTAAAGCTCTTGAGAATTTAGTTGCCAGACAAGTGTCTGCTGAACAAGCAGGACTTCCCCCATCACTCCCTGCTTCCCTGGGAATCCCTGGCTTCATAGTCTAGCTCCAAAGCTCCTGGATATTTCAGTTCTACCTGTTATGGTGATTTGTGTTAATTTCTTTTATTGACAGGATATATTTGGCTCTGTGTATAAGGTTCTGACAAATGTACATCTTCAAAAAAGTGAAGATGGCATGTTTCTCTACATGCTGAGTCACTTTGCAAATTGTACCTCTGAGCAGTTTGTACCTCTGCAGAAATAGTTGCAGAAAGATTCTGGGGGAAGAAAAGGCATTTTTCAACAATTTATCATTTGATACGGTAAAAGCCCTTAGCATTTTTGGTGATTCATAGTATTTCATACTTATTTTTATGCCCCTAATAAGAACCTTTTAATCTGTCATGTATTGATCTTGTATCTCAGCTAATTTTCTAAAAAAAAAAATTCTTTCTCTCCTCTTTTTTGTGAGTAGGAATAAGAATAAAGATCTACTCATGCAACAAGGAAAAAAAAAGTAGAAAAATATAAAGAGCAATATACTCTTTTGGTGCTCTCTGACTTTCTTTTCTTTTTCTTTTCTTTTTTTTTTTTTTCCAGTGATGATCTTTTCTCACTGCCTTACTGCCCAGGGAAAACCCTGGTGGTTGGAGCTTCTTATGTTGCCCTGGAATGTGCAGGATTTCTGGCAGGTCTTGGGTTAGATGTCACTGTGATGGTGAGATCCATTCTTCTGAGAGGATTCGACCAAGATATTGCAAACAAAATTGGTGAATATATGGAAGAACACGGAATCAACTTTATTAAGCAGTTTGTGCCAATCAAGGTAGGCTGAATCACATGACCGGGATTGAATGATAATTGATTCTAATGTGATTGGTTACTTACTGTAATGTTTTAAGATACAGATGATTTTACTAAATACACAAGTTGAATTCACAATACAGGATCTGCTACAACATAGGTTAATTTTTGTATGTTTAAAATTGAGTAAGCCTGTTAAAATGTATAATTAGAAACACAAGTTAGCCTTATTAAAATCACCTGAGATTGTTCACTGTCTTTATCAAAATTAGATTGCTCAGCATGTTGTGCATTAAAAACCTTGTTGTGCTTGCTGGTCCTGATTCTGCAAATGCTGAATGTACTCAGATTTTTGTGATTGTCCAGTTGGCACTGGCACTGCTGGTAGGCTCAGAATTAGGTAGGTTCATAATTTTCTGCAGGACGAAAGCCAGTGGATCAGAAATAGTCATTTTTTTTTCATTGTCAGTTTTCAAATTCTCAACCAATTCCTACTGCTTATGTTGCCCAGGCTGAATGGACCATCCTGAAAAGTAAAAGGCCTTTACACGTGCACACCGATATCCTTGGCAGAGTTTTGGGATGCTTGCTTCATTTTGCTCCAGTTCAGTAGGGGAACTTGTGCAGTTAGTTATGTATATGTAAAGGCAAATTCAAGCTGAAAAACAGATTAGATAAGCTCTGGACCTTAATGTAAAATTGCCTTATCAAGGACTTCAGAGAGTGCTAGCAGTATTTTTCTTGATGATTTTTCACAATGATTAGTGCTTAATTACAAAATAGGAAAACTGTATTAAGCAATTTTCCATTTGGCATTAAGCCAGGGTGATAGAGTTTAACACTTAGGAGATTAAAACTTTAAATAGAATGAAGTCCATTCTTTTTAACCCTTAGCAATATCAATAATAGTTTAAAAAATGCAGTTTTCAGTAGCTGCTCTGTGGATGTGGCGTCTCAGAAAGTATGAGATTTGCTGTGGAGGGTCAAATGGGTGTTTCAGAGAAATTTATGCTCTTATTTGTGTTTATGTTGTAGAAATGCCATGGGGTATGAAAATCAGGGATGAGCATCTGTCTTTAAAGTGTTTCAGATTTAGCATTCGTGTATTTTGGTCACTATGGACCATTGATTTCCATGGGAATAGAGTATTTGGCCATGCTTCTAGTTGAGAGTTCTCTGGAACATAAATTGCATAAATTGCTTCTCACCTTTTCTTATTTTTCAATGTTGTTTTCAAAGTTATGCATATTGTGCTTATTAAGGAATCTTGTGTTGGACATTTGAAGACAGAAAATGAATTATTATAAATCAGGCTTCCTTAGAATAGGAACATTCAATATAGTGATCCTTTGAAGATGGCAGAACAGCACAAAAGGTGTAGAGGAGTTAATTAAAAAAAATACAGGGGAAACAGAATTTGATTAGAAATTTTCCTTTTTCTACCACCAAACATTCGATATATATGATGAGAGAACTAGGGCAGTTGTTGGAGTGCACATTCTTTCTTCTGTAGAATGAACACTAAAAGTTTCACTGGATGGTTAAACACACGTATCCTTTGTGCGTACAGTCAGCTATAGGAAGCAGCTAGTTTTGCAGTTTTCTGGCAGTGAGAGAAGGACTCTACTTGAGCATATTTATTCCCTTCCTCATAGTTCAGTGAAAATTGATAGGATAAAAGAGAACCCACCTATATAGCTTCAAACTGCATTTGCTTGTTTTGTTGTTCATTTATCAGGAAGAAAATAGTATTTGGAAAAAGCCCGTGTCATCAATCATTGGGCTTTTTGTAGTGGTGGTGGTTGTTTTTACAAACTGTGATCGTGTTGCTCTCAAGAAACAGCCCAGTGCAAAAAGACAAAAAAAGATTCACGTTTCCTTCTTTTGTTGCTTTGCTTTTCTGGAATAGGCTGTAGTCCACTGCAATTACAGGATTCATGGCTAAAACTGGGAATAGTTATTTCAGCTGCCTCTGTGCAGTTTTGATTCTTCAGAGTTTTGTACGTTGCCAGTGTTTTCCAGCCCTTTGGAGTCGGCTGCTGCCCTCTCCTGCAAGCAAGGAGTGCTGTATGTGCCAGACCGAGTCATTCCAGCAGGGCAAGTGTCCTGCCAAGGACATTACAAGCTATGTGTGAGCTTGAGCTAGAACCCAGCCATCAATACAGCTTTTAGAAGATGGGGATTATTGTGTTGCTTCTAAGAATAAATGCAGAGAGATAAAACATTAAAAAAATACAAGTAATCAGAAATCCAGAGGAAGGTAACACAATCTTTAGAGTGAATGCTTGAATTTTAGGTCATGATGAAAAACACTAACTGTCAATGGTATGTGGTGGGACAAGGATATATTTGCATATGTTTATGTGAAACTAAAAACTTGTTTTCAAACACCTCAGGTTGAACAGATTGAGGAAGGAACTCCTGGAAGGTTGAAAGTTACAGCTCAATCCACAGTGGGGAATGAGATCATTGAAGGGGAATACAATACTGTGAGTCCTTTGCAATAAGCTTTCTAAGCATGTAAAGAAGAACATGGACTACCTTCCATTTAATGTTGAGATTTTGTGGGTTGTTTTTGTCCATAGATTAAGTTTAATTTTTTAAATAACTTTTAATCATTACAAAATGCTGATTGCACACAATCAAAGAGTAATTTGTGAGAAGTCTCAGAGTCCATTCACGTAAGCCCCAAGTACCTTACCAAATCACTTGCATGCTTTTGAAAACCCTGTTTTCCAGCTTTGGGATGCAGAGAAGCTTGGTCATGTGAAATTCCCTGCAGAATTTGTCTCCAAGGAGATATTTCTCATAAACTATAAGTAGTGATTTATAATAGATTTCACAGTAACTGAAACCTGTTGTTCTGGAGCTACCATATCACTGAGTCCCTATAAGCCCTGTGTCATGTTTTCTCAAGATCTATTGTTGATGCAGCATCTTCATGAAAACATCTAATGCCCTGTGGCAAGTTGGTCTGAGAGAACTTTATAACGCCCCTATGGCAGTAAAATAGCACTGTGTGCACAGCGTGAGGGCATAAAGGTATGTGTGGGACTAGCTGTTTCCAGCACCTCTCACCCCACTCATTTTCAGCTGTGATGCTGAAAGGATAAAAGTTGTGTATATTTTTTTGAGCTCTTCAGAAAGCACAAATGTAAGCACTGCGAGCCTGAGACTTCAGATTGCAGGTACTCTGTGCCAGCGACCTTGTTCTCCTTCACAGCGCTCCACTTGTTCCGTAGCAAGGATGTGGCCTCAGTGCCCAGGAGGAAACTCAGCAGTAGCAGCAGTTACTGCTGGGGTTGGTCCATGCTAGTGAAAGTTGTTTGATTTACAAATCAGGCACATCTTTCCTTTAATAAAATATCTGATTTCTCTGAGTTTGAAGATCTTCAGCTTTGAAGATCTACCCCGCTTGCCCCGCGAAGAGCCTTGTGGCTCCTTCAGCCCTGTTCCTGGGTGTCATGTGCAGGGCACAGCGTCACTGCCTGGGCGACTGGCCAAGACTGCAAGCATCTTCCCTTGGTGCAGCACACATTTGAATCTGCTGTACTTGTTAATTTGCTCTGCAAGTAGGTGGGATGAGTGGGAATCCAGCCCGGTCTGCCTGTCATTCTGAACAAATATTGCTTTGGGTGGAGATAATGTTCTCTGGCAGTCACTTGGTTGAATGCCCATGCAAGTAAATGATGATGTTTCCTGATCACAGCAACGGTCATTTTACAGTCTTTTTATTTGTATAAGGACCTGAGTTTTCTTCCTGAAGAGATTTTTACTTTCAAATCAGTTTGTGGTCATCTTTTTAGTAGGAATATGGCAAAACACTTAAATATAAAAAACATGACAAAATGAAGTAATTTGATCCTAACTGATTTGTTTACAAAACTCTTGAGGTATTTTTTCAAGAAAAGATATATGCTTATATTTGATCTCAGAAATAAACCCTGATACTCTTAGATCACAGTGAGGGTGTGTCTTGCTTTGAACTCTGGGAAATGTGTAATGGGTAAGGAGCATGTTTATCTCAATATGACTGAGCCAAAGCTACTAATATGTGATTAAAATGATAGATAGCAACATGCAAATGCCCTTTGGAGGTTTTAGGAAGTAACAGGAGCATCGCTGTTTTGCAGGTGTTGCTGGCAATTGGAAGAGATGCATGCACAAGAAAAATTGGTTTGGACAAAGTTGGAGTGAAGATCAATGAAAAGTAAGGACATATCTATACAGCACAGACTGCTGTGTCATTTGCTGCGACAGTGGGGCCACATGAACATTCAGTTGCTTTGAGAAAATTTTTCCCCTGTTTGCTTGTACTTGGATAGGAGTTTGTTTAGCAGGTAGCAGCACTTTGTCACATGTGGGTTTTTTTTGATATTGAAATGCCAGCTCCTAAATGCCAAGAATCAAGTGTCTGGTCTGTTCTGTCTAGATTCACATACTGGAATCCATCCGCAGTGACTGGGTGTGTTAAGCTCTGCTGGCTGTTCCTTCTCTTGTAATCCTTCTCCTTGTTTTTATATGTACCGCCTCTTGGGATATAGATTTATTTGTTCATACAAATTAAATGAATTCTTCTAATGTGGTGGATTTAGTTATTTAATGTAAATGGTGCTATATGTTTATTTTGGAATGTAAGGTCAAAGTAGCATTTGTTAAACTCACAGTTGGTTATGTGTTTTAGTTTTTGGAGGAATTCCTTTTTCGATTTTAAAGCAGCCCCCGGAAACAATCTGTTTCTGGTAGAGAAGAATTTCATGTTTGATTTTGTGAGATGACTGTGCCAGGAAGTGGACCTACTGGTAATATTGTCAGTATTGGTAATTTTAAACTGTCTAGACATGAGGGACCCAGGCTGAGCTCCCTTTGAAGGAAATGAGCAGGACCAGGAACTTGGCTTGGTAATCTGTGAGGGGACAGCTTGTGTATCACCACAGTGACTCATATGGCTAAAGGGAATTGTTGCAGTTTGTGAATAAGGGAGAATTTTGGTTCACCCAAAACTGGCAGTCTAGTAGAACAGTCCTGACACCATGACGACGACCATTACCACCTTAATGGAATAAACCATAAAATTCTTAGTGTAGACTATGTGTTTGTTAACAAGAGCAAAATAAAGGAAGCTGAATTTTATTATGAGAATCACCACTGGTCCCTCTAATGCCCTAGGTAACTGTGTGACTATTTCTGTGCCTGTCTTTGTAGCTGTCCCTTTTACATGTGTTTCTTGCAGTGGCTACTGCACTATTTAATTTATTAATAGAGTAGAAAATATTAATAATTAAAGGTTTCCATTAGTTCAATACATTTAACACTGAAAAGCTTGCTGACTGTCCCTTGGGTAAGGTATCTAACAGCATGACCTGTCTCTATGTAGCAGCCTGTAGAAACCTGATGGCTAAGTTTGTAGAAACTACTGCAGCCAGTGGGCTGGGATTTCAGCAGTGGAGAAATTCTTCCATCCTACAGCTTGAGTGGGAGAAGGTCTCTTCCTGTGATTCCTGGAGGTTGCCAACACACAGCTGGTAGTAAAGTATGCTGAGGAAAGCATTTATGCCTCACCAAAGACTTAATTCAGGAGATGAATCAGAACTTCATGGGCTACCTCCTTATCCAGTGTGTAAATTTCTGTAACTTTTGTAGAGACACTGTTCTGCACTGGCGTACATTCTTGTCCAAGTTTGTAAGATTATGAACACAGCTTCTTTCCCTTGTATTTCAGGTACATGTTTTTCTCTCCTGCAAAAATTACTTACCCCTCCAGTCTTCACAGTAGCCTATTTGTTTGTTTGTTTATTTATTTATTTTCTTGTTAATGCCTACTGTAGAACAGGAAAAATCCCTGTCAATGATGAGGAGCAAACAAATGTGCCATATATCTATGCTATTGGAGATATACTGCAGGACAAGCTGGAACTCACACCCGTGGCAATCCAGGCTGGAAGGTTGTTGGTTCGGAGGCTTTATGGTGGTGCAACCAGTAAGGTAAGTAACCAGTTGCCATGAAACACTATCAGTGCACTAACTGTAAGTGCAGTGTGCAAGTTTGCTTGTTTATGGCAAGCTTTTAATAGGCTTTTAAGGATTAGCTTCAATGATTCCTTTAATTTTCTCCTCGCAAAGATATTACTGCAGATATGTTCTTACAGCATAGGCTGAAATTAATACCTTATGGATTCTGTAATAGTCTCTTCTTGCTAGTAAGAGATTTTATTCTTTTCTCTAACTGTAGTGATAATAAAATTACTGAGATCAGTTAACTGGTTTTAACAGTGCTGCCTTCCCCCTAAATGTCAGCAATCACCCCAGTTTCATTAAATTCATTAACTCTAATTCACAGTCAATTTACTAACTCTTACCTGCGTTCCCTAAGTAGAATGTAAAAGAGTTTGTGATGCTCTTAACTTCCAGTTTTATGTGCACTAATAGTTTTACCTCCCAATTTGTCTTTTCATTTTAATAGTGCATAGTGATTTCTATTGCAAATTACGTATGGAGACAAATAAGGGTCAAATGTACCAATAGATGAACACACTTTTCTACCTGAGAAATTAAAATAATCAATTCACTGCCTGCCTTTCATATTAGCTTTACTGTGGTTTGCAGTCAAGCTCTGCTAGTGCAGTAAGAGTAACCTGGTACTCATATAGCCTGTATCTTTAAACCAGAAAGAAAGGAAAATGCCTTTAAAGAACTATTACCTGTGCACCTATCGATGTGGGTGTTCATCTCACCTTCATAACCACAGGGCACAGGCATAAAGACTTTCTCTGCAGAGCCGCCTGCACTTGGTTGTAAGCCAGGTTTGGAGCTTGAGTTGTTTATTTTTGATATTGCAGTAGTAGAGTTCTGAATCGGTGTGCATAATATCTCTGATGATCTTCAAAACCCACTTGGATGCAGTCCTGTGCTACGTGCTCTAGGTGCCCTGCATGTGCAGGGGGGTTGGGCTAGATCATCTCTGAAGGTCCCTTCCAACCTTAACGATTCTATGATTCTATGAAATACACTAGAAATACATCTTGATGTGCAGTTTGTGCTAGATAACTGTCTCTCAAGATATGAAAATCTTTATACTGCCATAGAAAGCATCATCTCCTTCAGTGAATCCAAGAAATGAGGGACTACTTCAGATGAGATCCTCGCTTACACTGCTGGTTAGAAAATGTGGATAAGGTGATCGTATGAAACTCCATGAAGTGGTATGGGTAGAGAAAGAGAGAATAATAAGCACATCTTAGTTGATCCTGAATCACAAAAGAAATTAATTAGCATTGAAATTGATAGAAATTGAAATTAGTAGAAGTTAATTAGCGCAGTGTATTAGAACTGTGCAGCTTGCTGGTCTTCTGTGGCAAAATGATGATCCATTGAAGAGAGCAGTGGTTATTGTTTATCCTGAGTTTAGCAAGACCTTGACATTTCCTCCCACAACATCCTCATAGACAACATGATGGAGTGTGGACTAGGTAAGTGAGAGGGGAGGGGTTTTCTGCAGCTTTGCAGAAAAGGTCCTAGGGTTCTGGGGGACAAAACGTTGACCATGAGCCAGCAATGCAGCCTCGTGGCAAAGGGGGCCATGGCACCCCAGGCTGCAGGAGGAAGAGCATTGGCAGCAGGTTTGCTGTCTGCTCAACGCTGGTGAGAGTGTCCAGTTCTGTGTTTGTTCCCCCCCCATCTCCCTCTTCTTGTCCCCTCAAAAATCAGCTTTTAAAGTTATGAATAACCCAACTTTTCTTCCTGCATTTCAGGCTGCTGAGATATTCTCAGTGTGCTGGTATATAACTGATATTGTGTGGTTTTTGTTTTGTTTCAAATACACAGTGTGACTATGTGAATGTCCCAACAACAGTGTTCACTCCTTTGGAGTATGGAGCCTGTGGGTATTCTGAAGAGAGGGCAGTGGAGGAGTTCGGGGAGGAAAACATTGAGGTAAGTGCCTTTGTTTCATCTGGGTTTTAAGTTCTAAATATGTAATTTAAAATAACATAAGCATTATATTCTGTGATTTAAGTGCGGGAGGATGCTAGGTACATTTTCGTCTTTCTGGGCAGTCCCATTTTTATGTTTTAAAAATAGTCCCTAATTCTGATAGTTCTGGTTTCAAAAATGTTCTCTTTTGGCAAAGTGGGCTTGTAGGTGGAATGTTTGTTTAAAAAAAAAAGGAGGTTCTTTGTCTCTACAGATATTTGAGGGATAAATTAAAGGTGGGTAGGTACTGGAAGCAGGAAATTAATTTTAATGTCAAAGCTGAGCTTCTTGTGCTGCAGTGTGGCAAATTCCCTGCCAAGGTGATTTTTCCTTTCTAAAGTGAGGAAATCTTGCTACATTCATTTTTTTTTTGCTGTATTTTTGGGCTATGCAAGCAGGTATGTGCTTAATTTTACTTACGTGAGTAGCCCCTGTCATTCACTGGGATGACTGTCTGCGGTGAAATTAGACATATGTAAATACTTACTGTTTCAGGCTCTTCTTGCAAAATACTGTACAGACCACAGTACAAAAGGCAGAAGAGAAGGGAGTCTGACAGTAAATTGAACTCTTTTTCTGTTCCATAAAGATCCCTTGAGGAGCCTAATTTGGGAAAATAATGAGAAAAGTTGCCGTTCATAAACCTGAGGACTTTTTCTCCTCATAGGTCTATTTGGATACACCTTTTGAACTGGGCTATGGAGAAAATTGTGAAATGTTCCTTAAAATTGCTTTATTAAGTACTTTTGACATTGACTATAGGGCAGGGGCCAAAGTTGTGTCCTGTCCACACAGAGTTTTTATGTACAGAGTCACATATTTGTTATTCAGTCAAATTCTAGCTGTAATGTGAAACACAGGACTCTTGTGCAAAGTGCACCTGTCATTTTCAAAGTTAGTTTTGAAAATGTGCTGGCTTAAATAATAAAAAGTAAAATATAAATATATCTGGAAACATTCATAGTCTGGTTATATCCTAATTCAGCTTATTCTGGCCTCCTGTATTGCTTTTTATGTTTAATTTTGCTTTCCTTTGATACACTACAGTAGCATTATTGAGTTGCATTTGTCATTCAGACCTGCTAAACTTCAACATTGGGTAACAGAATGTTTACAAATGCTCTGCAACCCCATTAATATGGAAAACCGTGAGCTGTCTCTCCTTATTTGTGCAGGGACATTTTATTACTGGAGTTGCAAATAATTACTAAATTCTCCGAGATAGTATCAATTTGGTATTAGTTTCTAATGAGAACTGTAGGGAGTCCTTAGGGAGTTCGGGATATAGCTGTTCCTTAAAACAGCTCCTAATAATCTGCTCCGTGCTGTGCCATACGCTCCTTTCATGACTGGTGAAGGTTTTTACAGGTGTGACATTTCCAAAGCCCCATCCTCCTGAGTCTGCTGCAATTGCAGTCAGTGGTAAAGTGCCCTGGGAGATAGATGATGCAAAATTAGGCTAACCAGGCAGCTTTGGGAAGATCATAGTTGGTGCTGTGAAATTACTGATTTTTCTTTAACCTCTGTGTTGCATTTCCAGGTGTACCATAGTTACTTCTGGCCCCTGGAATGGACTGTCCCATCCAGAGACAACAACAAATGCTACGCAAAGATAATTTGCAATATTAAAGATAACGTAAGTGTCCCCCTCTGGAGAAACCAGCAGCTACACATACCTGTTAGGGACTATTGATACCACAGTGTAAACAGTGTACTTTTAACAAATTGCAAATGAATTTAAATTTCTCTACCTTTTTCCAATTTTGCATATTTATAATGAGACAGTATTTTTGTTTATAGAAGAATAGCTCTTAGTAAAACACACAATTCTGAAATTGCCATTGATATATGGCATTTTTTTTCATACACGTAAAATAATGACTAGAAATCATTGAGACTGTTAACTTCGAAAAGTGATTAAATCAAGGCATGTAAAACATGTTAAAAGTTTTTATCTGCTGATGTTGCTCCCCCATCTCCCCACCCTCCAATTCGTTGGGGGGAATTTTTCACTCTGAAATTGAAGTCACTTAGAAGCCATTTGTATATTACAAATACATGTGTCTATAAAAGTTTCCAGTTCATTCTAGCAAGATTAATCTATCTTGCCTGCAAAAATCTCATTTACCACTGTATAATGCCCGGATTATCCTCAGACTAAGATAAAACTAGGATAAAACTTCCTGGCTATGGAAATGTATAGTGCCTGTTGAAGCACAAGCAAAATTAGATAGGCTGGAAGGATGGGTATGTCCCTCCCTGAATGAGCATCATCTGTTTAATAAAAACTTTGTTGGATTTGAATAATTAATGTGCTGATAAGAATGTGTTCTCATTAAGATAGTGGCATAGAGCTAACAGTGCCAGAAAAAAATTGTACCTATTTTCTTTTATCATCAGGTACTGATTTATCTTCCTGCAGTTTTTTTGATTGGCATGTCACACGTTTTAAGTCTGCCAGACTAATCTTGTGCATCCCCTTTTTCTGGAGGAGTTTACACCAGTGTGGAGGCTATTTTAGAGGCCATGATAATGTTTCTAATCCAAAGTTTGTTGAAGAAAATGGGAAGATTTACTGGGGTTTAAAGTGTTTAATTAGTTTTGTTTCCATTTCTTGTCCTGAAAATTAGAAATGCCTTTAAAAATTGGAGTTGAAAATTATTCAGGATGCGATTTTTATCATTAACTATTTAAATTTATAGTGGAAACTGTAGTTAACCCAGTTTCATTTTTTTTTAATTTTCTACATGTGCACACTTTTTAAGGGCAGCAAGGATAATTCCATTTTAACTATTATTTAATCTTAGATATTGTTCTTTAAGCTATAAGGTAAATCTGAGTCCTCCTGTTTTGTGAAAGCAAAATAACCTTACAATGTGCTCTGTATCCCCACTTCCTTATATTCAGTGGAGGAAGAAGATACAACTTCAGATACCAACGGGGCTAGATCTGCTAAGCAAAATCTGATGAATACCCATGAAAGCCAGTGGGGACCATGGTAGTTGGCATGTGCTAAATGAGCCAGTCTTTCTTTAGGAAAAGCAAGTCAAGTCAGCACTACTAACTCTCTTGAGTATTTGTCAAGGATGTATGCTATGGCTTGCATGGTTTTCAGGTGAACAGTAGTACAGATGTGAGAGAAGTAAAAGCATGACGCAAAATTATTGTCAATATAACGTGATAACTTTTAATTTGTTTTGGCAATCTCTAGATACATTTTGTCCCAACGACGGTGAGTGCTGCAAAAAGAGCCTTCTTCGGTCTATTTTCAGTTAGCCAGAATTTTTGCTTAGGACCCTTTTTACACAAGCAACTGTCAAACTGCGCTTCAATAGAACAAAGTTCTTCAACAGATACGTATCGTATTGGCCAAATCATCATGTTGCAAATCATCCTTCACATCCCTGTCTCTTAGGCCAGTGGTCTGTTGGACTGAGCCGAATAGCTTGTCTGAATAAACTTCAACTACATGTTTGCAAACTGGACTTGCAGGACAATCAAGCACAGCTCATATTGTGCTAAATTTATGTGCTCTTGATGCAAACAGAGGACTTCTGCCCAAAACTTTGTAAGGAAGGTGATTCTTCAGTTCTTAGGTTCAACTTTTTCCTTTGCAGAAAGGGCAACATGATCTCTGCTGTTTCCCTTCTCTTGGCACTGATGATGACTTGCATTTGTGTGGTTACCTTAATCTGTGGAATATTTCAGGGACTGATGAAATTACCTGCTTTCAGTTAAAGGAAAAAAAAGCATACTTTTTTTTTAAAGAGAACTGGATGCATGATTGTGTTTCCATTTTATTGTTATTTAGGAGCGAGTCATTGGTTTCCATGTTCTTGGTCCAAACGCTGGAGAAGTGACCCAGGGGTTCGCAGCTGCTATTAAATGTGGAATGACCAAAGAGCAGCTGGATGGCACCATAGGAATTCATCCGGTCTGCGCAGAGGTTTGTGTGCAAAGTCCCCTTCATAGCCCAGCTCCTGTAGCGTGTGGGATCGGATGTTGGAAACCTGAATACCAGAATTTTATTAAAGGGTATGGGGAAGGGGGAGTGAGCAGGGGAAAGGCATAAAAGTGATTCTTTTATATGTAATTAGAAACTTCACATTTGGGTTTAATCTACGATTTTGCCTGGGGTTTATTTTTTAGTTGATTAATTTGCTTAATGCTTATAGTCTCCCCTAATTCACTGCTCCCTCTACTGGGGACTATAGAATTTTCCTCCCACATCCATCCGTAAAGGCTTCAGATACTGTTTGGACTAAATTAATTTGTCAGAGCTTATTTTTAGCTCACAGGAGTAGTAGGCTTGTAGGCCTGCTCAAAACAGGTCTATAAGCTGGTGCTGTAAAGGGAGACCAGCAACATCCTGATTCTTCTGTTAAATTCTGCCCTTACAGAGATCTCTCCTTTACCCACACTGTTTTTCGTTCTTGAAATGAAGCACAAGAAGTAGCACACACATTTCTTGTGTTTACTTTGCTGTTCCTCTTTAATGAAGACCTGAACTCTCTATAGGGTGAGGGACAGCTACCCTTTGTGTAAATCAAAGATGCTGCCCAGACTTCAGTGGTGCTATGAGCAATTTATATTAGCTAAGGATCCCTGCATAGTGTGAGCTCTGCTAATAGGGCTTTCTGCAGAATCTTGTTTTTAGCACACCTGTATTTTAGCTACAAACTGGAGTAGCGCCAGGCTGCGGAAGAGAAGTCCTCTTCTCTGTTTTGCTTTTCCAAAGTGATACAGCGGGAGCAATATAAAATGAGCTCCATAATATAAAGAACTGCTAGCAATGTGAGTCACCTTCAAAGCATCTGCAGTAAAGATTGTACCTTTTTCTGTATGATCATGTTATAATGGTGTTCCTGGAAGCCCTTGGAGCCCTTGAAATGGAGGCAGCAAGTTCTTATTTTACCAGAGGCCCTGCACAGTGAAAGTCTGGGTGCGGCACCGAAACCTGTGAACTCAAGTAGGATATTGGCATATGCAGTGTGAAGAGAAGATGACAGGCATAATTTATTCTGGACATCTGAGCTGCTAAAACTGAAACTGAATAGAATGATGATTAGATGTAATTGAGGTAGATAATTTCAGTTAATCATATTTATTTGGGTGCAGGAGGAGGAAATTGGCTCAGTAGGAATACACAAATTGAAAGCTTGGGTGAACAATGATTGTTTTTAATGCCAGTATTCAAAGGGGTTTTGTGATGCTTGTTACTAATCTCATCTCTTACACAGTCAACAAAAGCGGAAGTTCAAGGATAGTAGTGTTTAATTTTTAAAAATCCTTTAAATTTAGTTTTTTGCATTTATAAGTACTATGCATATGTGGATGAGTAGAATGGTGGATAATATCAGCTTTTTTAATCTTAGAACTGTGAAAAGGCTAATGGAAAGGTAGTCTGTTCTCAAGAAGAAAGTGGCAGTATTGTTAAGTGAAATACTGCCATCTTCACTAGCATTAAGGCCATTTAATTTCGCAGTCTCATGTGAAACACAGGATTACTCAATGGAAAGAATACTGTAAAACTGAGGTTCCCACTTTGCCCTGCTTACACACTGGAGCCAAATTTGCTTTCCTTGCAGCATCTTATTCTGACAGCAAAGAGTTGGAAGTCAAAATGGACTTTTTTGCAAGGTAAAATACAAGTGCCAGTGGATGCAGAGTGGTAGGAAATGAGCCTGGCAGAGAATTGCCCTTTGGTGCAGACTCTGCTGCACTCCTTGTGATGCAGGCATGTATAATTGAGAGTCTATCATGAGGGGAAAGTGTTTCTTTTTAAAAAGCTGGGGTGGTTCTGTGAGTAGGCTAATGACTGCTTTCCAGTTACTGCATCTAAGATGTTGTCTTCACTTGAATAACTAACTAGTTGTGTCAAAAATTCATGTTTCTAATAATTACCATCTGGCTCCTGAGAGTCAGAGATCTGTGCAGGCCTCGTAGCCATCGCAACTGGCTGTTATACCCAGAATTTCTGATAGGGACAAGAGGGAAACAAATAAAGCTTGCTCATTCTCATCCTTAGTGTTACTTCCAAGTGAAAAATGAAAACTCCCCTACATTGTCAGCCTGTGGATCAGAGCTGAAGAGTCAGAAACTCTATCTCAAATCCTGTGCCAGCTTAAATATATTGTTCCTCCACTCATACATTAGGCCTGTGTTTGTCTCCCTGTGCTCAGTGTTTTTTGTGCTTGTAGAAGGTGGAAGAGGTAGATCACTTATTGCTGCCGGTAGCCTTAATGCAGTAAAGCTTCCATGTAGAGGCTTTCAGATACCCCTTGTCTTTGTATGTTATATGTGTGCAAATCAATGCAGTCATTTGCACAGTAAAGTTCTAATGTGAAACGGGATTTGGTAGAATTTGCTTTTCTTTAGAATTTTGATACTTTCTAATTTTACAGTAACAGGGGGGTTGGACTAGATGACCTCTTCTAATGCGAAACAGAATTTGGTAGAATTTGCTTTTCTTTTAGAATTTTGATACTTTTTAATTTTACAGTAATTATTCTGGAATATATTTTATTAATATGAGTTGAAATCAGTAAAGATTGGACCTTTTTAAACAAGATTTGCCAAATGTTTCTTAGTTATTGTCCAGAAGATAAAAAGCCCAGATATATCCAGATGAGCAAGCAGTTTCACGTTTCCATACGTGGCAAAGTTTTTGTTCTCTTCACATGCTGTTGCCTGAGGCTGCCTTCACTTCCCCAAAGCAGAAGTCATCTTTGAGCTGTAAAGATACTTTCCCAAAGAAGAAGTCATTTGTGAGTCGTAAAGAAACCTGCTCCTCCGCTAGGGAGGGCTCCTGACGCGCTCGTTGTTGTGTGCAGACTTCACGGCAGTAAGACAAGAGGTGCTATAAAGCCATGGGAGGGCTCTTCGTTGTTTCTGCTCCACAGCAAAAAGAGAACCAGAAGGCAAATCAAAGGATATTTTTTTTAGCGGCAAGGATTTTACATGTATGTTTTTCATTATTATTTTATTACTCTAAGTAAAAAATAACTGTGGTTTTAAGTATTATGCCCAAGTTAATTCAGCAGACGATTCATTTTAACATACTAAAAATCTTCTTGTTCTTTTCTTTTAAGATATTCACCACGCTCTCTGTGACGAAGCGTTCCGGTGAAAATACCCTTCAGGCTGGATGCTGAGGTTAAAGACCCCCATTGCTGCTGCTGCCAGACGGACTCTCATCGCTGTGGCCGACTAGCGCAATTCGGAAGGAACGTTGTGGAGAAATCACCACCAGGGCCCTGCAGAAATGTTTAAAGCTTGGCCAGGGCGCTCCGTTATCCCACGGCGAAGGCTGCTGTGGAGCTGAGTCACTTGCGGCGATGGGATGGCCATCAGCAGCGCAATGGGAATATTGACTCTTGAGCCATTGCTTTGCAGGGCATTTAGCAAAATGCTTTCATGAAATCACAGCCTGCAGCCAGCATTTCCTGGTGGGCAGTGATGGAAAAACTGCTAGCACAGCTGCTCAATAACTTCCTTTTCCTCTGTCTTTTGTTACCTGTACAAAGAGCTTCCTATTTCAAATGTATTACCACAAGTTCAGATAATTGCACAGTCCCTCTGTGCACAAAGTTAAAAAGCTGCAATCGCAATTCTCTTCATGAGCAACCTTTTTCTCCCATCACAGTCACGTAGGTGAGGCATGCCTGTGGACAGGAGGTTGTATCCTCGTGTGTCTTTATGAGGAAGAGAATAGCCTTGCAGAAAGGTTTAGTACCAGCTAGAATAGCATCTCTCTTGGCTCCAAATTGACTGTCACTTTTTTTTTAATTTTATTTTAAATATATTTATTTGGAAAAACATTTTTATTGGTGTGTCAAGAAAACACTACTGAGGCATTGTTATATAGAAAGCTTTTTTTTCTGATAGTCACAACCATGCACATACACAGATGTGATCTTTCTAGTTTTATCTTGCAACTTATGTGATTATAATTAATCCACTTTGGAACTGACAGAATTCCAATTTGGAATAAATTATTTTGCCGAGAGCTTTGTAGAGCCCAGTTCACTTTGAATAAATTCTTCCTTTTCACGTGAGCATCATATGCTGCACTGTGGCTGGTCTGAAGTGGCCACTTGGAACACGGCAGCATGGAGGCTCCTTCAGCTTCGTTGAGCTGTATATTCAAAAAAACAACCAAACAAACAGAAAACACAGCGCCCAGCCTCCAAAAAGCAATAGTAAAACCTTTTGGGTAGACAAGGCATAAAGCTTTTATTAGTTCCATGTACTTTCATATTTGATTAATAGCTTTTAAACAGGTTTCCATAAAAAATGACCAACAGACCTACTTTCTTCACTATTCCTCCAGTGCTGCATAAACTACATACATATTTACCAAAAAATGGCAAAGTGCTTCTTTGTAATGGAAATCAATCTCCTTTATTATCTTCATTTCCCTCTGTTTGTTTCCCTCTGTAACAGGAGGTTACAGATGACTAATGGTTCTTAGGAGTTCAGTATTGCAACATGAATAAAGGCTAAATGGTCCAGCTCCCTGGGCAGAAGAATTTATGCCTAAATTTCTACCCAGTAACAAATTTATATTTTACTACTGATTTTTAATAATAGTGTTTTAAGTTATTTTTATAAATTCATACATAATTTAAGGATTTTTAAACATGTTTTATATGGTATCAGAACAATCTGTGGTGTTATTTTCCTAGCCAGTTCACTGAGTACATAGAATGTTGCACAAGCAGATGGCCAGTTTAATGAATCTTCCAAGCAAGGAAATAAGGTGCTAAGAAGATTATATATGTTAAGGCCAGAAGAGGACACTTGATTAATACAGTTGTGATTGTTTAATCTTCTGAATTTTGAAGGTAGCTATTGCTCTGAAAACTGGGTGTATTTTATTTGTGTGTATGTTTTCTGTCTGTTAAAGATCAAAAGAGGATATACTTAAGGAATGAATTAGGGATCCAACTTTCACTAATATTTAGCAGTGTTTGCCTTAGCTACCAGGTATAATTTGAGGTGCAGGAGTGCAGCTTTATGAGCTGTTGAGCTATGTAGTTGTTCATATTTAAGCACAAGCATAGCAATATTTTCAAAGATGTCTGTAAGAAAGTCAGACCTTGGCTTTGCAATGTTGGGCCATATATGTGTCTGTCCTTTTTCGTGGGTCATGCCCTCATTAATAATGTGCATTTTCTAAACTAGTGACATATTTATAATTTAGTAGATTTTTAAATTTTGCTTTAAATATAAACTGTCAGATTGTGTGGGTTTGTGTTTTTTTTTTCTTCTTCCTAAGGTTTCTTCTTTTTCTCCCAGAAGGAAAACATTTTCTGGTGTATATTCCAGTATCATCTCTCATCTCTGCACAATGATACATATATTGTATGGTAACATCACATAAGGCTGTTTTAAATGCCAAAACCAAGTGTTTAATGTTTGTATCAAGTTAAGCATACATTTGGTCATGTATGCTTGGAGATGTATACTAGAAAATGTAATAAGTTAACCAGTGTTTATATTCATCTGATGTTTCATTCTTATTAATCATTAACATTTCTTGGAACTGATGCCAGAGTGTAAGTCAAAATTATAAGGTATTTCAAATGAAAACGCTGACAATCACTAATTTTCATACACTTCAGCAGGGATTTAGAGCTCACTGGCATCTCCAGGAGATGCTGTTTTTATGGCTCCTCACTCCCTTTTCTTTTCCTTTCCTCCCCAAAACCTATCAGTCCCCTTTTACCCCTCTCACCCTTGGTGTGATCTGTTGAGGCAATCCGAATTATCCTGTGACTCTTGCAGACCAACTTGCATCCTGCCGTCCCTCCTCCATGACCTGTTGCCTTCCCCGAGTCCCAGGAGCCCCAGGTGAATGCAAGGTTTCCACAGTGGGGAAGGGCTGGTTTCAGGTCAGGTGCATCTCGTGGAGGTGCCGTGAGCGCTGCAAGAAGGCTGCGCTGTTCATGATGTTATCTCTGGCCGTCATGTGCCACCCTTGCTCTGCAGTGCCACGTGCCAACATGGGAATCGCTGTGTGGGTGAAAAGCTGTGGCTGCCTCCTGCTGATGCCGGTGTCAGGCTCTGAAGAAGGCACAAAATGACAGAATCTGCTATGAAAGCCTTGATAGACACCTTTCAGGTCAAAATATAGTATAAATCCATGTTTGTGGTGAAGTGGCAGCTCCACAAGAGTGAAGTTTCAGGATCCCCTTGTCTCTGAAGACTGACTCTTCTGATTGCTCTGAAGTCAATACCCCTTTTCCCGTTGCCATTACATTCAATGCTTCGGGATAGCTACTGGTCCAAAATGGTTATCCTTTGAGAAGGGGCTTTCTGAGGTCCAGCCTGTTTCTATGACCAAGGAAAACAGTGCTAATAAATGCTTGCATGCACTATGGCATGGAAGAGGAGAAAAGCTGGGCCTCTGGCAAAGGAGGAGCAGGAGGAGGCAGTGGGTCAAGGAAAGGTGCTGGGAGCTCGGCCTAGGAAGGAGCGGCAATGTCGTGCTGTGGGAAGAAGGACGTTGGAAGTGGAGCAGCAACGAGAGCGAGCAGATCAGGGGAGGTGGAAAGCAGCAGATGGGCTAGAGGGGGCACATGCATCATCCCCATGTCTTCATCTGCTCTCCACCATGGCACTTATCCTCTCTGCGGGCTGGTGCAAGACTCCTCCCTAGCCAAGGCCTATTAGGCCTCTGAAGACAAACCTATAAAAGGCAGAAGAGATGATACCAAGGAATCTGCCTCCCTGTTCATCTCCTTTCTGTGTGCATGTAATGGGAAAAGAGGTTCCTGTCCCTGAGGCACTGGTTGTGCCAGCGCCGCCCTCCTGGCATGGAGGGGAGCAAGGGCATGGCTTTTGTGGGGAAAGCGGGGCCCGGGCCGTGGCGTGGGGCAGGAGCTGTGCAGGGGTGGGGAGGAGGCCTTCGTGGGAAAGCAGGGCCCGGGCCGTGGCGTGGGGCAGGAGTCGTGCAGCTGCGGCGAGGTGGCGGCGGTGTGAAGCGCATGGTGAGAGGCGGCAGCCCGGCTGCTGCTTGTGGGGAGGAAGCCTGGGGTTTGGCTGTGGGGGAAGGCAGGTACCTCAAAGCAACGTGGCCTGGGCCAGCCGCTGACAGCAGCCTCCGCTCTGCGAGACGCGCGGCCTGTGCTGCGCGGGTTGTCCACGGGCGCCCTGGCCCTGCTCTGAGCTCCGGCTGAACTCCGGGCTGCTGTGTGTTGGGGCTCCTCTTACTCTGGAGGAGAATAAGGCAAGACAAATGCTCCTCACCCGTATTCTGTTGCGCAGAATTTGAACGTGGGTGTACAATATGTTTTTGATTTAATCGCCTGTTTTCTCCTTTTGGTCTTTGTGAAATCTTTGTATTTTTAGACTTGTCTGTCAGCATTCTCCCATAGCATTTTTACCTCTTAAAATGATGAGCTGCAGGTGGATGCATACAAGGTCAGAGAGTTCCAAGCACTCTCCTTCCCCTAGCAAAGCTGCTGGTCCTGCTTGGGATGGCTGGGGAGGCGCAGCCTGCCCCACAGTGCTGCATGGCTTGTGCACGTTGAAAGCTGTGTCTGTGTCACGTCCCACAGTGCGTCTGCGCCGTGGCCACCACTCTCTCAACAACCTGTTGTTTCTTCCATCCACAGCAGTGAGCACCTCTTTTCTTGCAGGCAACTTTTACGCTAGGTTAAATGCAGAGGAAAGCAAGCTGTGCCCATTGCTTGCTTTCAGAAACTGCTGGCAGCACTTTTGGCCTAAAGATTTGACTTCCCTTTTACACATCCGCATAAAGCACCACCTGGGCAATATTGTGAGGGCGAGAACGGCACGTTTGCCGTGCGGCGTAACACGGGTGAAACAAAACCATGGACTGCAGTTGCTTTTGAACAAGCTGGTCTTCCAGCCCTGCAGCTTGTGTGCTCTTATGTTCCTGTCTTTGTGAACTGTGGGACGGGGTGATTTAAGGACTCTCCAGGCAAATATTTCCTTTGAGTGCACTTAGGGGTCAGTATGTGATGGATGGAAGAAGGAAGATCCCAGAGAGATAAGCGGCACAACGTACATGAAAGCTGCTTAGTGTTTCAGCGTAAGAGTTTCATGTGAGAAGGCTCCTTATCTTTCTTCTCACACCACCAAAAGCATTTGGAAAACAAATACGGACGACCTGTAGTCACTTCCCCTGGGGTGCACAAGTGCTGTGCAGCCAAGGGCACAGCAGCGCTGAGGTGGCACAGAGGGGTAGGAGGGAC